TGTGTTGAAGTCTTGTAGAGTAGACACTGGGAGGGATCCAGTGTAGATAATCGTTTAAGCGTTACAACATCAGACAAAGTAATACCGAGCGTTATAACAATCGACGACTGAACATTATAACACCAATATACACTACAATGTACATGGAAGTATTGATCGGCAATTGTCAAGTTTGGGCCTATTCAGTTAAATTCTCCAGGTCATTTTGAAGCCTTAAACTGTCACCTTTACTTTTTATGTCTCCATGTCTTGACATTGTTTGCATACAACAAGACCGACGGTTACAAGAAACTTGGAAACGCATTAACAAATGAAATAAATTGGTTTCAAAACTATATCCTAAGGCACTCCGCTAAGCATGCTTTCTCAGCTAGAAAACTATGAGTTTTTAGTGGCACTGGGTCCTAATCACACAATTCTCAAAGCTGAGCATTTGATAACTGCAAGAATATGTATCCAACAGTTGTTATGATGTAACTGCCTAAACTATAATAGCTTACGTGGAGGCCACATCATTGTCTTCACTGACTCATCATATCGAAATAATCACTAATATGTGATGGAGAACACATTTAGACTAAAGATAGAACAGTATATCTGATATGAATAAAAGTGACAAGTTGCACAAAAATGACCACACTTGCAAGGCTCAGCCATGCCATCCGATTGAATTGAATTGATTCTTCCCTCCTCCTTCATTGTGCCAAATGTTGAACATATATTTTCCTAGTTTATCTCGTGTTTAGCTTCGAGGAGTGTGTAGTTAGGACCCAGTGCCACTTTATTACTCCCCCACCAGAATCAACGTGACGTTGGTTCGATACCATATTGAGTGGGACCGTTGCGCGCAGAAGTTTACTAAAAGAACAATAAGAATCCTCCAGGTATCGATAGGCTGAAAAATAAGTCAAGAAGAAAACGGCAACAACTGATCGAGGAATATATGTAATAATTTCAAAAAGTTTGGTTTTATTCTTAAAACGCGAAAAGTGGAAATCAACGTGAAGATTGCTTGGGAGTTGAACAAAGTGGGATCATAATAATTACTAATGACTTCGTGTTGAGATATATTTAAAAGCTTTATACTACAACATAGTACTATGAAAAGTGTGTTGTTTACAGACGAAATACACTAGATTCAAAAAAATATTTAACATTCCTTAGTTCTAATTACCTTTGCCACACATTTATAAATATCACCAGGCTGAAGACAACAGCTTCTTATGGAAAGTTTATAACTCGTCATATTTCTAACTTAAGTTCTATAAGTCATCTCAACTTCAAAAATATTTTTTTCATTTTGGCCAAGTTTTCCTTAGTTGTTTTGTTCTTTATCAGCCTACACGTTAACCTAGCTTATAAATGCATTGCACTATATCATTTATGTTATTTAAATTTAACAGTCACTCGTACTCTATGTTGAAACTCAAATAGGAAGCCTTTTATCCACTCTAATAAACGTCCTTCCACCCCGATATTACTTAACTTATATAGCAGTCGTTTGTGAGAAAGTTTGTCGAAAACTTTACCGAAGTCAATGTATGCTACTTCTTTAGGTAGATTACTAATAAGTTAGTGAGACAAGAATAACCCGTTCTAAAACCGTGCTGCTTTCTAGAAGGAAACTGGTTTTCGATGAGATACTTTAAGGACTTCCGTATAATCTTTTCTAAAATGTTAACAACTACGCTAGTTGAGCTTAGGGGTCGATAGTTCTCATGTTTCATACCTGTTTTGAATGTAGAACTTACTACGGCGTTCTTCCAGTCTATTAGTAATGGATGGGTTAAGGATAGGCTGAAACTTATGCTTAATGAATTCGCGACGGAATTTGCTAGTTCCTTTGGTAACATAAGATACATTTAATCGGAGCCGATTGGATGAAGGTTAGCGGCATCACCGCCCTGTTGGTCAGGCCATTAGGACCTAGCAGTTGGTGAACTCGAGGTTTGGTTTGTCGAATAGAGGCTGAGTAATGGAATAAGCCCTTCAGATTCGCAAAAAATTTATAGATAAGTTTTATCCTGTACTAAAGACTGTCTCCTCTCATTGATTTTGTGCAAATGTTTCTCATTTGTTCTCATTGTCTGTATGCGGAACATACGTATACTGGAGGTGAAAATTCAATCGAAGCTCGGTTCTTCAACCTCATTGAGGACTTGGGACTACACGAAAATGTGAAGTCGTACACTCGTTGGAGGAACGGTCAGACACCGTCGCGCTTAGACTGTGTTTTTACAAATGAAGAATTTCTAGTCGACAACCTCTCAATTCTGGCTGCCCTGGGGAAAAGCGATCACGCCGTTATAGCCTTCAGTTTCGTCAGCAAAACAGAGCTAAGATATCCCGACAACAACAGGCGCTGGAACTTCAAACGGTTGAATGCGTCAGCTCTACAGGATTATCTACAACAGGTGGATTGGGATGTTCACCCTCAACTTGATGTGGATGCTCATTGGGACTCCTTACTGCGCACGCTCTCATGTGCTACTAAGCAGTCAGTTCCTCAAACGGTCCCCAAAAGGCACAAGCAACCTACAATCATCAAAAAACGCACTCTTCGTTTGCTAAGCCGTAAAAGGCACTGTTGGGCAGAATACAAACGAACCAACAACAACGGCGAGTACAGGCAATACAAACATATAAGGAACACATGTACGAAGGCTATAAGAGAAGACAGGCTTCAGTACCAGTTAAAGCTTATGGATAAATTTATTTCCAATCCGAAAAGCTTATTCCGTTATGCAGCCTCTCTTCGTCAAGCCAAAACTGGAGTTTCTCAACTGCTAGGTCCTAACGGCCCGACAGATAATGACGGTGACGCCGCCAACCTTCTGGCTGAGCACTACTCCCGGACATTTCAGCCGACCCACATCAACTATACTGATGTCGGCTCTGTCTGCAACTGCACAGGACTTTCCGTAGTGAAACTGAGCGCTGACTTGGTGTACCGTAAACTACAACACCTAAGAACAGACACGTCTCCTGGTCCAGATATGGTCCACTCTGCTATACTGAGGGAAGCAGCTTCAATCCTGGCAACACCGCTTAGCGTGATGTTCTCACACTCGCTAAGTCGGGGCAAACTACCGGATATTTGGAAGCTGGCTCATATCACACCAATCTTCAAAGGAGGTCGACGCAGTGAACCTTCAAGTTACCGACCGGTGGCCCTTCTCTCTATACCTTCAAAGATCATGGAGTCCCTGGTATACGATGATATACATGACTATCTGCTGTCCTTAAATTTCTTCTCACCCCAACAGCATGGTTTCAGGAAGGGTTATTCCTGTATGACGAACCTGCTGACCGCGGTGGACAGATGGACAAGCATCGTTGATCGCAAGGGGAAGGTAGACATCATTCACCTTGATTTCTCTAAAGCTTTCGATAGGGTTAACCACACATGTCTTATTAACAAGCTCAAACAATTGGGAATCAAACCACCTTTAATTGACTGGCTCAGTTCATACCTCACAAATCGACATTTTAAGGTCAGGGTAAACTTCAACTTCTCACGCGCTATGGAATGTTCTAGTGGGGTCCCCCAGGGCTCAGTACTAGGACCTCTCCTCTTTCTGATTTATATAAATGATCTTCCTCAACAGGTAACGTCAGACATACTGCTCTTTGCCGATGACGTGAAACTTTGGAGAGAGATACGCAACCAAGAGGACATACAGGCACTTCAGGAGGACCTGACTCGACTTCAAAGTTGGGCAGATGATAACGGGCTTACCTTTAACACTTCAAAGTGTAAAGTAGTCCATCTGCGACACGTCGCAGATTACAGTTACAACTTAGGAAACTCCTCTCTAGTAGTATCCCGAGTCGAAAAAGATTTAGGAGTTCTGGTGCCCTACGACTTAAAGTCTTACGCCAACTGTGACAAAAATGCCTTTAGAGCAAACCTTGCACTGGTAACATTGAAGCGCATTTTTGGTCAGTTTGACGGGGGAACTTTCCACATAATCTTCAATAGTTTCATTCGTCCCCATTTAGAGTACGGGAACATAGTATTCCCTCCTACACTCCAAAAGGATAAGGACACTCTGGAGCGTATCCAACGGCGAGCCACGAAATCAGTTCGGGGACTCAAATTTAAACCTTACGATGAGCGCCTCCAATCACTCGACCTTTACCCATTAGAGTATAGGCGTCTTAGAGGTGACATTCTAATAGCTTACAGTATCCTTAACACACCTGGACACCCTCTTAAACACCTACTTAAGCTTAGTCCCAACACTAACCTAAGGGGTAACACCCAAAAACTGGAGATACAACATAGTAGAACGGACTGCAGACACAATTTCTACTCCTTAAGAGTTGTCAAATGCTGGAACTCGCTGCCAGCTGAGCTAGTCCAAGCAACTTCCCAGGAGTCCTTTAAGAGGTGACGTGATCTATTCTTAAGGACTAAGGATAGTATCCTACTATGATTTACCAATTCATTTTCTTTCTCTTTTATCGTTAATATACCTAGGTTCTTGCCTGGAGGTATTGGTGATCCACTGCTACTAGACACGGAAGTTTGTTAAGCGAAAGCTTCTTCTATTCCGTCCGCAACCATTTGAACCATTTGAACCATTTGCGCCGTTGTTACAAGTGCGTTTGTATTCCGCACAGCAGTAAATTTTGCGGCTTAGAAAACGAAGAATGCTGTTCTGGATGACTGTGAGTCGCTTGCGGACTTCGGGGACCGTTTGAGGAACACACTGCTATGTAGCACATAAGATCGTGTGCAGTAAAAAATCGTAATGAGCATCTACATCAAGTTGAGGGTGTACTTTACAGTCCACCTGCCGTGAATTGTCCTATAAATCTTACACATCCAAAATGTTTTATTCGTTGTGTAAATGAAATTTCACCCGATAAATGTTTTTTTGTTCTAGCTGCAACCACTTGAAGCGTTTTAACAAAATCTTGGAAATTGAAGATTGTACATAACTAATTTGTTGTGTTTGTTGAAATAGCCAGGTAAGCAAACGTGTCATCCATACGTACAATTATGAAGTTGTCCGTCGCTGTCGTTGCTCTTTCCCTTGTTTTCGCTGCGTCAGAAGTCACTGAAGAAGATGATGTGCTTGTATTAAACAAAAAAAACTTTGATGATGTCATCAAGAACAATAAGTTTGTTTTGGTTGAGTTCTGTGAGTTGACACATTTCATTTCATTGATTTATTTAGATGCTCCTTGGTGTGGTCATTGTAAAGCTCTTGCCCCAGAATACAGTGCAGCAGCTAAAAAGTTAAAGGATAAAGGTTCGCTAATCAAACTTGCTAAAGTGGATGCTACTGTCGAAGAAGAACTTGCGTTCAAACATGGTGTCAAGGGATATCCGACTTTAAAGTTCTTCCGAAACGAACAACCCATTGACTTTGGAGGCGAAAGAGACTCTGATGCAATCGTAAACTGGTGCTTAAGAAAATCCAAACCTTCCGTGGAGTATATTGAGTCGTTAGATAGTTGTAAACAGTTTATCGACAAGGCCACCATTGCCATATTGGGCTTTATCAAGGTAATCGAAAGGTAGTTGAGCTTACTTTTCAGGATACGGACTCGTTAGATTTGGCAGATTTCGAAAAAGTGGCTGACGAGTTAGATGATGCTGATTTTGCAATAGCTAACTCCAGTGACATTTTGACTGAGTATGGTATCACACAGACACCAAAGATTGTTTTGTTTAAAAACGTGAGTTCATTTCTTCTAACGGTTTTTCATTTACAGTTTGACGACAATCGTGTTGAATATACGGGAGAAACACTGGAAAATCTGAAGCATTTCGTACAGGTGGAAAGTGTCCCTCTTGTGTCAGAATTCTCCCAGAAGACCGCTGGAGTTGTATTCGGAAGTCCAATCCAAAAACACATTGTCTTCTTCCTCTCAAAATCAACAGACCACTCGGATCATGTTAACAAGCTGACAGAAGTTGCAAGACAATTCAAAGGCAAGGTAATTAATTACAGGGATCACCTGGTGATAATTCTTTATCAAGTTTTTCCTACATCTAGACGCAATGTAAAACTGTGACGTGTAAAGATTTTTGATATCTAATGTTTTAATGTTCCAACCCAGCAACACTGACCCGTAATACCTGATAATGCCTCTAAATTGCAGTGTCGAATCAATAATTTGAGAATCTCCGTCTTCCTTAAGCAGATACATGTAGGGAAAGGCGCTTCTAAATTACGTAAACATTTTTAAAATTTATATTCAATTAGGGATTCTCCTGTTATTATTTATTTAGTTTTAGCGGTAGTTATAACCCCATTAATTTTAGCAGTATGATCGTCCATGACTCCCGTGTTCTTAACTTCAAGATCGTCCAGACCATATATCCTAATTAGCTCCTTTACCACGAGTGTGTTAATTAGTGATGGCATTAATCACAGTCTTAATAAATTTTGACATTGCCAACGCATTTCACACTAGTAATCTTAATGTATATAAAGTACTGTCGGGTGATTTAGCAAAAAACAAATATACCCAGACTAAACTTTCCTAGTGCCTGATGGTCTACCAACGAGTTTAATAAAGGCAAATCATTTTTCAAGACGTATGAACAAGAACTTATTTCCCTGAAAGGTTCAAAGGTTTCTAGGAAGACAGGCTCCTGACTGCTTTTAGGAAATTAGTGTTATCGATTATCTGAGAAGTGACATCTTAATTTCATCAAAATTCAGTACGAAGGAACAGTGACTTTTCCACTTAACTAACTATAAGGCACAACATTTGCAGATTCGTCATTTGATCATATTTACTAGTCGGGAATCAGCTAATTATCATGAAGTGTCCTTCAGTGGAGTCTCTAAGGGTGTATGACGAGTATTCTATTACCAGTACTACAAAAAATGGTTTTTAGTGGTTAGTGTCAATGCATACAATTTTCTCCAATATATTTTTTATTCAGACCACAAAGTAATTATATTTCATCTCGCTTATTTTTGTGACTATACTCGTGCTTTAGGATCAGCCCATTAAGTAATTTGAAGTTAATACGTCTCCTTCCTATAGCTAATAAAGTTTACATCTAAGAGTGCTCGAATATGAACGTGTATTGTTTTTTTGCTTTCTAGCTCCACGTGATATACGTCGACGTTGATGTCGAAAACAACTTACGCGTGTTAGAATTTTTCGGGCTTTCGAAAAATGATGCCCCAACTTACCGAATTATCGAACTTGGTGACGAAACAACTAAATATAAACCAGATACTAATGATTACTCTGTTTCCGCAATGTCTGATTTTGTCCAAAGAACAATCGATGGGAAAGTCAAACCTTTCCTTATGAGTGAAGAAATACCATCAGATCAAACAGGTGCTGTTAAAGTTCTTGTTGGGAAAAATTATAACGATGTGGTTAAAGATAAATCAAAAGACGTGTTTGTCAAACTGTGTAAGTGCTTCATTTCAGTATATATGTTGTGAACAAGTTTAATCATTATTTTGTTTCAAATCCTGACATTTGCTAAATGATGTGTGTTTTCAATTCACTTTGTCATGAGTTCTTGAAATAACTGCACGTGCTTCAAGACTCGGTGTCAACCCTTGGTGTTAAATACCCAATAAATACCAATTTTACCTGGTTTTAGGTCAAAGTAAATAAACTGAAATAATATGTAAAAGAAAATGGAGCATATGTCCTTAAAATACTCTGTACTTTAGCAGTAAATAAAACATCTATGTAACGACTGCAAAGATTTCTTTAAAATAACTTTTTTTGGAAACTTTTAGATGCTCCTTGGTGTGGTCACTGCAAGACTCTTGCTCCAGTTTGGGATGAATTGGGCGAGACTTTCAAGAACTCAGATACGGTGATCGCAAAAATGGATGCTACAGTTAACGAAGTTGAAGATCTTAAAGTTACCAGCTTCCCAACTCTGAAGTTTTACCCCAAAAACTCGGATGAGGTATGTAAATATTAACCCTAATAATCATTCAACAAAAAATCATTTTCACGGCCAGTGTTGAATGACTTTTTTCCATTGCATTTTTCGTTAAGTCTTAATGTCATAGGTGGTGAATCAAAAGCTGCAATTAATTCTGTTACCTGAGGTATTTCGTAATGCAGTGTGATCATTTCTAGCGAATATCTTGTTCTATTCTGGATAATAGTTCTGATGTATTCACTACATAATTACACTCCGTTTTTTTTCGGTTGGTAGTCTTAAGATTTAGATTAGTTTTCCCTTTAGGACATTTCGTTGTTTTCAGTGGATATACTGAAACACTCACCTCTACATAAATTAATCTTCGATACTGTCCAGAACGATAATGCAAAGTCTTCAATGAAACTGTCTAGCTCAGAAAATTCAATAACATCAAAAGCAGCTACCTAGACTTCGAATCTTCGTTTCAAAATGTCTGTGTTACCGAACTACAGATTTTCGTTTCGAGAATCATGACTCACATCTATATCTAATAGCCAGTTACTTCATAGATTACCACTAAGTCACCTTATCAAGAAAATACCTAGTTTTTCAAAACGTTTTAAATACTTAATTAACTTTTATGTTTTCATAGCTCGAACGAACTAAAAATTACTTCTCATTTTGGAATTTTCAGGTTATCGATTACACAGGTGATAGATCTTTTGAAGCCCTGAAAAAGTTCGTAGAGTCTGGTGGTAAATCCAGTGAAGCAACTAAACAAGAAGATCAAATAAAGGATGAACTCTGAAGTTGTTTCTTAAACGGCTTTATTTTGCTTTTGTTTTCATATCTCTGCTATAAAGATCTGTTTTTTTTTCATTTTATGCTCAATAAGCAATGAGCTTTAGTTTCATTTGTCCATTATTTAGTTGTTTGTAGGCACATATTCGTTTATGAAGTGCTCTTTGACAGTGCATTTCTGTGAAAATGTGCCTCAAGTTTTTTTTGTACCATCTTAATTGTTTTCCTTTTTAAGCATTTTTGAATTCTGCTAAATTAAACGTGTTGTATTTATTTGTAAATTCAACTTGTATAGTAAACATGGAAGGATTTATGTTACATTTAGTCTTTAGATATTGCAAATGCTACGTCAGCGCAATTAAGGTGTTGTATTCGTCGGAATTGACATTTTTCAGATGGATTATAAAGTCTTTCATTGTAGATGCTAATACTCATTCCTCTAAAATCAGCAAACTGATATCTCTTTTAAAAGAATACACGCTTCATTGGTCATTCAACCAATATTTTTGAGTAGTTTCCGATTTCCTGGACGGTTAGGATTCGTTTATGTTTCTCTGTATGATTGGTAGGACAACAAAATCGTTAATTGAATTGTGTTATGTCCCACTCAGGTCGATATTGCTCAGTCGCACATAAAATGAGTGATGTACATCGAGATATTTAAGACTAAAGACATTTGGTAGCACTGTGACTCGTAAGTATTTGTATAGGCTGTTCGGTTTGAAGATGAATTTTTGTGCATAAGCTGCCCATGTATTAGATGGGTACTTTTCGTAGGAGTATTTGGTAGGTTTGCTTTTTGGTATCGGCTTCCAAATACCAAGACATCAAGTAACTTGATGTATCTCACTGATGATATATGCCAAGAACCCACTTCCATTGACGCGAAGTTCAAAATATAGGCTTCTAGGTATTAAGTGATATTAGTATCTATATGCGAATAATAAGATGAGTACTGTTCGGGATGTATACAGTTAATATCGAATCCATAGAAACTTATTGTTCAAGGTTTCAGATGACGTGAAATAATTAAAGGCGATAGATGCATAGGAATCCGAAGTATCACCCATAGTGTTAATTATTTGTGAAATTAATGTAAATGAACCAAAAGGGAGTTCACTCATGACTTCTGAAAATGGAGGGTCGATATGTATTACGCCACTGCAGTTAATTTAGAATACAAACGCAGGGCGAAGTAAACAGCTCAAATATGATGTAGGATGCAACATCGAATGTTTTGAGGATTCAAAAGGGTGTTCCAGGCTTGGGACCATTTCATTTGGAATACGGGTCTGGTTCCGTCTCTTGCATATACACAGCAACTGGTATCCGTCTTCAGGGAATTCGAATTCAAATAGGCTCTTGACAGTCAATTTCCTCATTGACATCTCCAAATAACTGTCTTTACATTTCGTTGAAGACATCTTCATCAAAAGACCCATGCGATCTCGATGTTTCATAAATATGTTTGTTTCCCACCGTTGTAATATTAATTTGGCTCAGTCACGATTCTAAAAATCTGGTAATTTGATTTAAAGTATATATTGTCCTTTTTCCAATCAGTCGGCACTTGATTTAAATTGTGAGTAGCTGATGGGAATCTGAGAAATGAATGAACTTAGCTACGCGTTTTGTTCTTTATAGAAATGTATGGACTTATTAATGCAGTAATACCTAGATCCCTACCTCAGTTACAAGGAATTCTATGTGTTAGTGAATGTGCAGAAGTTTTCCTACACTAGCAACGTAATTTTAGTATTGTTTCGGTTTTAAAGTGATCCTAATGTGATATTTGCTATTCAGCTTATTTTTTGGTAAGAGCAAAGAACCATATTATTTCTCCATTATAATGGGCTGGGCCTATTTAAATAGTTTAAACTAATTGTTGTACATGCCTTCGTATTACTAAGTATGTAAGGTTTGGACGTTGTCTGTGATGTTCAAATTCACTATAAGTATAAATTGGTAGTAAGGATATATCCATGAAGGAGGTACCATTCACAGTATTATTTATAAGTAGAGCGTATCTGAAACAATCGAGAATTTCTACTAAATATCAAAACTTCAGGTTTTCTTGTTAATTAGTCAGAGGCTCATTGAGACGAGTTGGGCGGTAGATTCATCGTAGTTTGTTAACTAAGTCAATATTACTATGTTAAGCCTTAGCTCGAGATTTTATTTACTTATTTATTTGAACACATAAATATTGGTACAAGGGGGCAACAGATATATATGCGCCACATAATAATAATGAGAATGGGAAGAAATAAAGAATGTAAGGTGTAAAGAAAAGAGCAATAATGACCACAGATTAGTGTATGGTAGTGTAGTAATAATAAAATGAGGGAAACGGAAAGGTACATCAGAAAGAATGCTTTCATTTAAGGAAGTTACAACCACTTCTTATGAAGAAGATTACAGCATCATCGCCACTGGCTTCTATTCTGAGCCATATCTGGTAACGTCTCTAGCTACTGTAATGCACCATCTCTAGGACTCCAGTCAGGGGGTCGTGAAGGACCAACAGAAGCCAGTCCTGTGCAGCTTTCTTCCATACCACGACACCACGTTGTACACTAATCACCTCTCCGCTTTTTCCAACCAGTCCCAGAGTCGGCAAATAATGCACGACGAGGAATTCCCTGGGACGACATTCGTAGAACATGTCCAATCCACCAAAGTCGATGTTTCAAGATAGTGACACCAATTGAATTATCGTCTCTGCGCCGAACCTCTGCATTACTGACATGGTGTTTCCACTAGATGTCAGCAATCCTTCGGAGACAACGATGATGGAACACAGAGAGTCGTCGAACATTCTCAACTCGGAGAGGCCAGGTTTCACAAGCATAGAGAAGAAGTGCTCTCACCGACGCGTTGTAGATACGATCTTTTACAGCCAGACTGACATCACGAAGGCTCCAAAGATGGCCCAGCTTGGCATAAGCCGCTCTGGCTTTCACTATACGTGCATTGATCTCATCACTCACACCACTACCAGCACTTATGCAGCTACATAGATACACGAACTTCTCGACTACTTCTATCTGCTCACCATCCACGGTGAGCACAGGATCAGGGTCCTGCCAGTCTTGTAGAAGTACTTTGCACTTTGAAGGTGAGAAGCACATACCATACCTACAGACACTGATTGCCAACTGATTAAGTGCGGATTGTATGACTTGAGCATTATCGCACAGTAAGGCAATATCATTCGCATACTCAATGTCGAGAAGTCTTTCTCCAGACAACAGAACCACACCGCTATTACATCCATCCATCCATATTTTATAAGTGGTGTGTGATCTTGCTTAATACAATAAACTGGTTTGCATTATCTGAGTCTTCATTCACTACAGTGCTACATCAAAAAATATTAATGACTTGGATTTTTCATGTTCTCATCAATATGCGTTGCTATTGTTAATAAAAATTTGTAATAACTGATTCCTATGTTTATCAAATTATAAATCGTACTTTTGAGATGATGGACATTTGTATCTTATGTGAATGATTTTGATGAAGTTTTATTGTCTGATCTAGATGATGTCCTTTGGAAGAACGATGAAAGCTTCATGACTAAACCATCCAGCTTAGATAACAAAACTCCACCAAAATTGTGCTATTTTTAGTGAAATACTTTTAGGTCATTCACCTCCTAGAATGCTAATTAACTGATATGTTTAAAATTTCTCATATGACTTGTGATAAGTTTCTATTAAAACTAATTTCAAAGGAATATTTATCCCACAATAAGGCAAAACAGCCGCCCAGTACGTCCAGGTTTTCCATGGTGGTCTAGCCTTAATTGATTCATGATCTCAACTATTACAATTACTATAATAACGACGAAAACCCCTTCTGAAATTATTCAACATATGCTCACTAGTGACTTGCTTCAATAAGTATTTCTTGGAGTTCTAGTGAGAAGCAATGACCAGTGGAGTTCAGCCGGGTCAGTTGTGAGATAGTAACTCACTGATGACAATGGTGGATGTGTCTCACAATTTCGTGGATTAATTGAAGTTAGACATCAACACCATTGGATGCCGGCCGGCTCCGTAGTTAAGCGCTAGAGCGCGAGACCTATAGCTCCTGGGTTTGAATCTCACGAGGCGGTATCGTGGATGCGCACTCTTGAGGAGTCCCACAATGGAACGAAACGGTCGTTCAGTGCTTCTAGGTTTTCGAATATTTATCTATTTTCAAGTAAATTTCAGAAACTTATTTTATAAGTTACTTTTGATGATAACGACAGAATAGACTTTATTCAATGTGTACCAAGTAGGATTACTGGAAGTTATCATTATTGTCCTGTAATTGCTTTGTTAATCAACTTGGTTGGGGATAAGATCTACTTTTTTCATAAACTACTACTTTCGTTAAACCTAGTCGTCTATATGACAAAGTACAGAACTGGTATGAAATAAGAATGTATGGTCAAGTGATTCTATAACTGAAATTTTTAGAACTATGTATATTTATGACTAATCGAAAACTAACTGTTTTATTTATTTATTTGAACTCATAAATATATGTATAAAGGGGCAGCGAATACATTTGATTTATGTGTTGGATATGAGACTGCCCGGGTGCCTAGATTGAAGTAAATGATTTTCTTAGAAGGCTACACCCGAAGCATTCGAACTAAAAGTCTGATCCACAAGACAGTTGACCAACATCATGCGATTCAATCCAGTGCTCCGCAATTGGTTCATAAGCCATTTGTTCCTTCAGTATACTGGAGCTCATGTACACCATTGGTTTGTAATCAGGATTTTCCAACTCCCCGGTTAAAGCACCGGACATTTGCCTTTCGTAAAATAACAACCCCGCTTCGATTAGGCTATGAGTAAGACTTCTCGGACAGTAGCTGTAGATATATGTTCATGTGAGAGCATTTCGAGAGGGAGAGTTGACTCTTCCCACCCTCAGCCGTACCAAGTTAAATATAATCACAAATTGAGAAATTCTTCCAGTTTTAATCTAATCATTTATTGGAATATACGATAAATGTACATTAGTTGAATACGTGAATAATCAAGAAACATCTTTTAATTTAATGGTGGATAGTGGCTAGCAGTGGAATCCAGGATGCACGTTTCGTCTTATTTAGGACTCGTCAGCTGCATGTACCTGCATCTCAGAGTTGATGTTCACTCTGGGACTCTAACCAAGTACCATTCGCAACAAACGTCATCTCGTTACCCACTCAGCTACTAAGTTCTGCTAGCCACTTGCTTGTGCAATGGGGTGAATTTAAATTCACTTGGTATTG